GTGATGTATTTTTTTTTATATGAAGAGGAATTTGATCCATTCTTTCGGTATGAAATACCTGCCACCCATCTTTACTTTGGGAGATCAGTAAGCAAAGATGTGCTTGGCCGTGTGGGAATGACATGCCCTAGACTAGTTGAACTAGTAGTATGTGCTAATGGATTACGGCCACTTGATGAAGAGTTAATTCGCATTGCAGAACGTTGTAAAAATTTGTCAGCTATTGGACTAGGGGAATGTGAAGTCTCATGTAGTGCCTTTGTTGAGTTTGTGAAGATGTGTGGTGGCCGCCTGTCTCAGTTATCCATTATGGAAGAAGTATTAATTCCTGACCAAAAATACAGTTTGGAGCAGATCCATTGGGAGGTGTCCAAGCATCTTGGAAGGGTGTGGTTTCCAGACATGATGCCCACTTGGTAGACTGAATGATGTAGGACATGAGGAATAGCACCTTAATGTTAAGCATATTGTATTATAATAAGAGTTTATATCCTGTAGTTCTGATGTAATTCTATTTTGTGGCATGGAAATTTGATACCTGCATTGAATATGTAAGGATTGTTTATTGGAAGACCCATGGAGCAGTTTTGGTCAGAAAACTTCATCTCTTTCTTTAGCCTAATAGCAATTGAAGCTCAGAAAAAGTTTTTTAAATGTGGTTCAGATCTGAAAGTAATAACCAGTTATTGAAGATTAATAGTCCAAAAGAAACAAAACCTGTATCTTACAGTATCTGAGAAGTGAGTACTAATAGGTTTTCCAAAGTTATGTTCTCTATGCATTTTTTAAAAATGTAAACTTGACATTTTAGGGTCTTCAGTTATACATACACCTGTTATAAGGTGTTTAATATAGCTCAGGACAGAGCATTTTGTGAGAAAAATGTAGGATATGTTGTATTGAATGAAAGAGATTGGTTGAATGTTCTGAAATATGTTACAGAGCTGTGTAAAGAGGTATGTATAGGTAATTGGATCTCCTAGACAACTGGAAGTGTCATAGTGGTTATAGAAGGATAATAAACAGAGCCAAGATCAAATTAAAAGAAAAAAAAAAAAACAGGAAGGGAGGCAGTATTTAACTTTGTATAGACTTTCAGGTTTGCTCTGTAATCTGCTAAACCATATAAATTCTCTTCTGTTACTATGTTACTATGTATGTGACACTTTGAGGCATCCTATGTAAAGTAAGGAATGCTTTACCAGTTCTCCTTGGTTTTGTTTATCTTTGTTTAAGCTAGTTTTGAAATATACAGTAATTGAAATGAAAAGCTTATCTATATAATAAGGCCAAATTGAAGTAATTAAAGGTAGAACTTTAAAATGTTTATAAATTATTTCCATGAAAGAATATTATTCTCCAGTGAATTTTAGTGATGGCTCATTTTTCCATTTTGGAATTAAATAGTTACATAAGTAGGGCTTTCAAAAACCATAAAAGGAGCACCTGTGTACAGGTTAGCATAAACAAGTAAACTTAAAAGAGGATATATTTAAGTTCATAATCACATTTTTGAGTAAATATTGCTCAGTGGACTGGAAAATTTTAATAGAAAAATGTCTTAAATTTTGTGATTGTTAATTTGTTTAAAACGCTGTTTTATATTATTTAAGTTAGGTAGCATTTTTATTACTTTCATATGAATAAAAGGTAATCCACACATTGCTGTAAAAATATTAAGTTTGGGGCTACATGTAGTTTTTTTAGGTATTATATAAGCTTTGATTCTGAGCACTAGTGCTAGTAGATAACCACCTTCTAAAGAAATTAGAAGTGATTTACCCCAATGGACTACTACAATAATGCTTGAAATATTTAGAAAGCATCTTGGTAATTATGGAAACTAACAGTCTTACAGATCTAATCTATTTTTTAAATAGATTACCTTCCTAAGAATAAAGTAAAAGGTGATTTTTCAAAGTCTCGGTATTCTGGCCACATATAAATGAGAAGAAAAAAGGCTGATCCAGACTTGGAAATGAAAAGCAATTATTGTAATATTTCCCCCTCTTACTAAATAGTAAATAGCTTTGTACAAGAAATACCTGTGTTAGTGGATGAAGCTTTTTTCCTTGAACAACTTTGGACAATGGATTTGACAGTACATAGTGAGTTCTACTAACCAAAGCTTTATTTGGAAATGTACTTTTTTGTACAAATTGAAATATATAATGCTTGAAATACTTAAGTCACTTTATAAGCAAAATGCGTAGCACTTACTTTGTTTATACTGTAAAGTATATGTTAAATGCTTTTATCAATTTGAGAATAAAGATAGCTACTAACACTGTTGTATTATTATAATTTTTAAAAACTACCCTAAAATACATACTTGATTTTCCAAGTCAAGCATACAAACTTATGGTTTTAGTTTTGGATTTGTATTTGATAAATACAGTGCTTAATATTAAGTTTATGGTAGAATGACTGTTTTGAAGATGTTAGTTAAGGCAAATGAAATCTTTTCTTGAGATAAACTCTGATGACCAAAGTGATAGGAAATGACCATGAAATGTCAATTTATTTTTCAAATTGTGTAAGGAAAATGGTTAAATTAAAAAGAATAGACTCTGCTTTTAGAAGAATTATAAAACAGATGTTTTGAAATAGAATTTTTTTTTTAAAGATTTTATTTATATGACAGAGAGAGACAGTGAGAGGGAACACAAGCGGGGAAGTGGGAGAGAGAGAAGTAGGCTTCTCGCTGCAGTGTGGGGCTTTATCTGAGGACTCCTGGATCACCACCCAAGCCAAAGGCAGATGCCTAAGGACTGAGCTACCCAGGCACCCTTAAAACAGAATTCTTAAAAGGCCTTAAACCCAGGTAGTTTTTTTCATAGAGAAATGTCTTCTATAAATCCATACAATAACAATAGTTTTTTTTTTAAGTTTTATTTATTTAGAGAGAGAGCTGGGGGGAGGGGCACAGGAAAAAAGAGTCCTAAACAGACTCCGCGCTGTGCACAGAGCCTCACTGGGCTCTCCCTGGGACTCAATCTCATGACTTAAGAGATCACAACCCTGAGTATGATGCTTAATGGTCTGTGCCATGCCACCCAGCTGTCCCAACCAGAATAGTTGCTAAACTATTGAGATTGTTTTATTTCCTGTCTTCACAGCTTCCAGAAAATCCGTTGGTAATCTGGGCTATTTTAACAATACTATCAGAAAACAAAAACAGGCACGACTAAAGATAAGTCAATTTACACATTTAAAGAAATTTTTATATTTACAGAAAAGGTTAGAATAGATAAATGGGAGGGGAGGGGTTGGTGTGAAGAAGGCTCCAGGCCTGAACTAGGTCCTTTAAGAAGCTGTAAGTAATCTGTACCCCATACAAAATGGAACAGTCTTTGCAGACTCCAGCTTCAGTTTATCTGAGATTTTACTGTTATGAAGCAGCTAGAAAAATTTTACCTGCTTCGTGACACCCAGCTATACTTTAAACACAAGGACATATAGGACACAATAGACACAAAACCGTTTATTCCAAAAGTGAACCAAGAGCATATCCTTAGAATAATCAGTCCAGTAAAAGGCTTTATTAAGTAGTAGGGAGAAAATGTAGATAGGCAAATCTGAGAGCACAGGAAGTTACCTGGACAGTAGGAAGATGCTGGAAACAAACTTTGGCCAAAATGTGTGTGTGCTCTTGGAACACTGTTCTTTGTATAACATACCAACAATTCCTTTAAAAAGGGGGGGGGAGGGGCACCTGGGTGGCTCAGCCCTTAAGCATCTGCCTTTGGCTCGGGTTGTGATTCCAGGGTTCTGGGATCCAGCATCCAGCTCCTTGATCAGCTGGATGCCTCTTCCTCCTGCTCCCACTCCGCCTGCTTGTGTTCCCTTTCTCACTGTCTCTGTCAAATAAATTAAAAAATAAAAAAATAAATGATCTTAAAGGAAATGAAGTCCCCCCAAAATTCATTAAGTACCACCAGACCAGATTATAAAACTAGATGCAATTTCCAAAGACTTTTTTCCCCCTGATTTCAAAGGAGCCAATATCAAGGGTTCCAAATAGTATTTTAACCTTTTGACTGTTCCCCTGTATATAACTATTAAAATAGATTTGATGACACTTTGTGGGATACTTTCTTAACACTGAGCCAGAATTAGTAAGTGGGGATATATTTATTCCAAAGCCTTAAATCAATCTTACAGGAAATTTTATACATTCATAACAAACTAACAGAAAAACAGAAATCACATTTAAGTTATATAGTAGGTCAAAGGGCAGCAAAATTTAATCAGCAAATTCCTGCCTAGCCATTTTGAAAGCATGTTCATTCTGTCTCTACTCCAGAAGCCCTACTTCATTTTATAAGTACAGTTGACAAGTTTGATAAATTCTTAAGTACTAATGTGATTTTTATGCTCTGTGCTCTAGTCACCCGAGTCTACCTGTTATTTTTAGAGAATTCCTTCATTTGTTAATATTCTTAGGAACTGAAAAATACTGAATTTTTTTTTAACTAGAATCTTGCTTTAAAATTCAAGTTCCACATCCAGATGTCCTCATTTGTCTTTGCTACAGAACCAAGTTCTGTGCTTTAGAGTTAACACAAATGTGGCACAGGAGTTTTTGCTTGTTTGCCCAATGCAGTTCTAGAAAATCCAAAATTCTGTTTTCCCAGATCAATTTTCCTAAAAATCCAGTAAAAGTTGGCATTGCCCGAATTCAGCCACTAGGTGGTGGTAATGCAAAGATCCACATCTGTGACATTCTGAAGACAACTAGCCTGTTAAAGGGACAAACTTAATTAGGGATGTTTAGGCACTATTAACATGAGTTCATAGGCCAAATGGTAAGCAGTGAAACAAAGTTCTTCCCGTGGATTTGAGCAAGACTGCGCGTGTGCTGCAGTAAGCAGAGCAGTGCAGTGCTTCTCAAGCTATCTGTGGTGAAGGGCCTAAAAAGTCAACAAAAATGAATTCCTAGACAAATGAAATAAAAGACATACAAAATACAAGCCATTTTTTTATTAGATTCAACAGAAACAAAATTACTCCAGTAAGTTGACTTAAAATAATGTTTCAGTATCTAGTTGACTAGTAACCTAGTGTTGGTAACCTGTGGTACGGGCACTGGTCTGAGGAAAACAACTAAATCTCACTTCATAATGTTTGCCATGCAGTCAACAGAACTGGTTCAAATGTGGCTCCGTTACCATTAGCTGGGTAGCCAGGGAAGGGTCATTCAACCTTCTAAGCCCCAATTTCATCATCTGGATTAAGAGAACTCAATGATAATGTATCTAACTTCTCAAGAGGCACTCAACTGTTAGTAGAAACTAAATAACATAATTTATGTATTAAACAGATTGTCTGTCTCTGCTTCACCAACTTACTGACTCGTGTTTTTTCTATGAACAGACAATTTTCAGTTGATCATCCAACTTAAGGTTTGAAACCTTGTTTGATGGCCCTAAATGGAAGCACAGCTACTTGGAGATCTTGACAAAAACCTGTCCCCTGTCTGAGAAGTGTACCCTCTTCTACTGAGCTGGCATCTCTACTGGGTGGAAGGACTACCAGAGGAGTAGGGGAGCCAGGGGGTGCCTGCTCACCCAGGTGCATCTGCAGTCAGATACTTCTCTGTCCCCTGGGTTTGAAGAACTGCAGACGCATTCAACTGCCAGCTCAAAGTCTAGGGTATCACCATAAAACCCACGAAAGGTTGGCATGTAAACTATATTAGGCCAAGTCAAAGATGGCACTTTGTTCTTCGACTCATCATTATAGCGACCATTTAAACTTTCCTATGACAAACATACATGGCTTCAACCTTTACAACAATCCTGACAAGACGACTCATCTCAGAGATAAGGACACTAAGGTTCAGAAATGCTCATCTGCCTAAATCACAAAATGCCAGTTACTAGCTAATTCTAAAATGCTAGCTGGAAACTTGTGCTCTTCAACACTGTTTGTACCTCATCCAGAAGCACAAATGCTGCAACTAGGCTGTCCAAATTGGTCTTTAAGTGAATAGAACAAAACCAAACTACTAGACCTGGTCCCCAAAGTTATAAAAGCTGTCAAGTCAGTCTAAACCACCAAAAAATAATGAAAAAGTATTAACTACCATACCAGAAAAAAGTACCTCCCATCATGAATGTCACGGAGGGTATTTAAAAAATCTTGGCACACCATATCCACTATTTAAAAAAATACAGGGCCCAAAGATCCTACATATCTGATACGAATTATAATTCTTATTAACAGAGGCTTGGAGTTTGAAATCAGGGTCACCTAACGTGCTCACTTTGGCCAATGCAGTGTTTCAGCTTCTCTCGAAGAACAGTCCTGAGATGACAGGTGGCCGTTCGGCCCAGGTGCATTTCTGCTCCAAGACAGAAAAGCCTAAGAAATCCACAAATGTAATCACCCCTTGAAAAACACATATGCTGGTGACAGAAAAAAAGAGCAGTAGAATAAAAATTTTATAAACCAGAGTGTGTTTTGTTTCTTTTAGGTAAAGGGATTTCTTCATAAGTTATTTTAATAAAAGGGAATTTCATAGGTAAAAGCCAATATTCAAAATTATAAAACAAATAGAACTCTCTGTGTACAATCACTGCATCAAAAATTTGCAAGATACTGAACAGAAATTCCTTAGTTGACGAATGTGGTTTGAAGGGGTAATAAAATTTTTTTATGGCTAAAGCAAGAGTCTTATTTCCTGTTGGCCCAAAAACAGATGTTTCATTTCCCAGATAGGTAGGTTCGCCACTGTAAAGGAATATTCTTGTATAGTTGGTTTCTATCTTCTTGAATTCTGCTCCAAGTTCAGCCAACTTCTTATATGTCCTTAACACAAATTTAGAACAGTCGTAGGATTCAAACCATGTCTCTGCCCCTCTTTCTGGGCTGGCTTGCACAGTCCATGTCTCATAATAAATCCCTGTTTCATTGTCCTGCTTTACCCACTTTGCCATTTCGTTAAATGTGTTTCCTAGTTTAAAAAAAAACAAAAACAAAAAACAAAAAAACCTACGTGAGCATCAAAGCTAAACAAATAGTTTTATGAAAATGTTCTGACCTGATGATTAAGGGCATGAATAAATAATAGTTTTTATTATTCTTTATTTACCTAATTATTTATCATTTATACTAATAGTTCCAAACCTGCATCTCACAATAGGAGTCCAAGCTCAGCCAATTTTTATTCTATTTTTCAAGGCACCAGGTATTTCTGAATCATTAACATCAGCTATAATAGGTGTATAAAGCTTTACATACCAGTTCTATAAACATTTAAGGTATAGTCAAAAGCAAAATTAGATACATGCAGGAGCCCTCTCTTTACCCCACTCAACAACTCTTGGATTCAGAAGCAAAAGAAAGAAAACAAGGAAAAAACTGAGGAAGAGGTAAAAGTGAATGCGACAAAGGCAGTGTTAAGAATGGAGGAGAGGGCAATGCAGAATTTTTCTGTCACATGCACAGTGTGCATATAGTATGAACAGCAGCCAGGGGTCCGGCTACTCTAGAAGGCTGGCCTACTAATGTTACAAGAGAAATTACTATACCTTATCTTCCTTGAATATTTGTTATTTCCCTTTTCTCTCTATACTTGTAGCTGTTGGGGTTCTGCTTACAACCATCCACTAACCATTCCTAAAATGAACTAAAGTGGAAATGTTTTTAGCCACGTTTGTGGATGTGATTCCAGAACGTCTCACATTCTCCTACCATCTTGTACCAGACTAATCTTTCCAAAATTTAACAGAACACCATACTTTGCATGGTTACAACCTCCTCTGGGCATTTATAATGCCTAATAGAGCCTGGCCCCAACATTTCACCTTGTTACCTTGTGTGAACCTTTCCTAAGTGCTCAAACTTGAGTCTATAAAATCAATACTTCGTGTCCTATAAAATGAAGAGTGGCTGCTTTGATCAATTTATGGAATTAAAATTGTGGAATAATATAAAGCCTGTTTTCTTAGAACTCGGGATACTGTTCTTAGTGTTCAACTTTAAAAAGTCACTGCTATAATTAAGAGATAAGAATACTTCAAAGCACTTCTGTAACATGAGAAAACATCAATGAACAGGATTAATCACAGAGCAGAAGGATAACTTAAAAGATTTAAGTACTAGCACATTACAAACTATTTTACATGAAATAATGATCACTTGTTCATATCCTACACCGTTGTCAGGATTTTCAGAGAGTAAGATAGGTGGACAGAGAAAGAAGAAATGTAACTGACCTGGAATGAAAAGAAGAGTATGAACACCGAGCACAGTTAAAAGAGAAATGGACTTTGAGATCGTTGGGATGGTTTGGGGCATATCAATTAGAAAGCAGTAAGGAAGATCAGATAACAGCATGGACTATAGTTAGAAGATCTCCACATGACATTTTATCCCTGGTTCTACAACCAGACCTGTGATTGTAAGAGACTGGTAAGTCATGCTACCTGATTGACCCTCAATTCCTTACATATTAAAGAAGAGTGTTTTCCTTTCCTCACTGAACTGTGAGATAACATAATCCAAAATGCTGTGCAAAGAGCTATCAAAGTAGAAAGCATGTTAACATCCTCAAGTCTTGTGGTTGACTGCAAAATTCTTATCAAAAACAGGGCTTTCCTTCCAGATTATTTCCACTTTCTCGGAGAGCAACAATTATAATGCAGAGCTCTATGAATCATATGGGCAAGCTCCTTACCTCTAGGATCCAATGGTAGTCTCATCCCCACTCTACACATGAGGTAATGAGTCAAGAAAGTAAAAGGTCACCCAAGGTCACACCCAGTTTCCAATGAAAGCTCTGAACTTTTTTCATCACTACCCAACAACACAACACATGAAGCAAAATTCTAAGTGTTTCAGCAACTTTCCAATACATTCAGAAATAAAAAAATCTAAGAAAATCTTAGAGATAAAATATTTCAATTGCTCGAGGAGCCTCAACTCTTGTAAGATCACGTATATTTTGGGAAGCAAAGGCGCGAAGTTGTTAAGAAAATGGTCAATAGGGCTTCACTGCCAGGGCTGGAATCCCACTTATCAGCTGTGTGACTTTAACCACTTCATGCTTTAATTTCCCTATCTGTAAAATGAGGGGGGAGGCAGAATAAC